AGTAATTTCAAAAAATTCCATACACACATGCAAGATTATGGTGATGCATAGCAATGAGAGGGGAGAGTGTTGTCTATGTACCCTCGTAGACAAAAAGCGGAAGAGTTAGCACAACGCGGTTGATGTAGTCATACGTCTTCACGATCCGACCGATCAAGTACCGAACGCACGGCACCTCCGAGTTCAGCACACGTTCAGCCCGATGACGCCCCTCGAACTCCGATCCAGCCGAGTGTTGAGGGAGAGTTTCATCAGCACAACAGCGTGGTGACGATGATGATGTTCTACTGACTCAGCGCTTCGCCTAAGCACCGCTACACTATCATCGAGGTGGACTATGGTGGAGGGGGCACCACACACGGCTAAAAGATCAAACGATCAATTGTTGTCTCTCTAGGGTGCCCCCTGCCCCCATATATAAAGGAGCAAGGGGGGAGGTGCGGCCGGCCAGGAGGAGGCGCGCCAGGAGGAGTCCTACTCCCACCGGGAGTAGGACTCCCTCCCTTTTCCTTGTTGGACTAGGAGTGGAGGGGGAAAGAGGAGGGAGAGAGGAAGGAAAGGGGGGCGCCGCCCCTCTCCTTGTTCTATTTGGACTAGGGGGAGGGGTGCGCGGCCCTACCCTGGCCGCCTCTCCTCTTATCCACAAAGGCCCACTATGGCCCATTAAGCCCCTGGGGGTTCCGGTAACTCCTCGGTACTCCGGTAAAATCCCGATTTCACCCGGAACACTTCCAATATCTAAATATAGGCTTCCAATATATCAATCTTCATGTCTCGACCATTTTGAGACTCCTCGTCATGTCCGTGATCACATCCGGGACTCCGAACAATCTTCGGTACATCAAAACTCATAAACTCATAATATAACCGTCATCGAAATTTTAAGCGTGCAGACCCTATGGGTTCAAAAACTATGTAGACATGACTGAGACACATCTCCGGTCAATAACCAATAGTGGAACCTGGATGCTCATATTGGCTCCCACATATTCTACGAAGATCTTTACCGGTCAGACCGCATAACAACATACGTTGTTCCCTTTGTCCGAGATTCGATTGTCGGTATCTCAATACTTAGTTCAATCTTGTTACCGGCAAGTCCCTTTACTCGTTCTGTAATACATCATCCCGCAACTAACTCATTAGTTGCAATGTTTGCAAGGCTTAAACGATGTGCATTACCGAGAGGGCCCAGAGATACCTCTCCGACAATCGGAGTGACAAATCCTAATCTCAAAATACGCCAACCCAACAAGTACCTTCGGAGACACCTGTAAAGCACCTTTATAATCACCCAGTTATGTTGTGAAGTTTGGTAACACACAAAGTGTTCCTCCGGTAAACGGGAGTTGCATAATCTCATAGTCATAGGAATATGTATAAGTCATGAAGAAAGCAATAGCAACATACTAAACGATCGAGTGCTAAGCTAACAGAATGGGTCAAGTCAATCACATCATTCTCCTAATGATGTGATCCCGTTAATCAAATGACAACCCATGTCTACGGCTAGCAAACATAACCATCTTTGATCAACGAGCTAGTCAAATAGAGGCATACTAGTGACACTCTGTTTGTCTATGTATTCACACAAGTATTATGTTTCCAGTTAATACAATTATAGCATGAATAATAAACATTTATCATGATATAAGGAAATAAATAATAACATTATTATTGCCTCTAGGGCATATTTCCTTCACTTCACCACACAAAGCATTCACATCATGCACAACCCCAATGACAAGCCAAGCAATTGGTTCATACTTTTTAACGCGCTTCAGCTTTTTCAACCCTCACGCAATACATGAGCGTAAGCCATGGATATAGCACTATAGGTGGAATAGTATATGATGATGGGGTTTATGTGGAGAAGACAAAAAAGGAGAAAGTCTCACACCGACGCGGCTAATCAACGGGCTATGGAGATGCCCATCAATTGATGTCAATGTGAGGAGTAGGGATTGCCATGCAACGGATGCACTAGAGCTATAAGTGTATGAAAGCTCAAACTGGAAACTAAGTGGGTGTGCATCCAACTTGCTTGCTCATGAAGACCTCGGGCATTTGAGGAAGCCCATCATCAAAATATACAAGCCAAGTTCTATAATGAAAATTCCCACTAGTATATGAAAGTGATAACTCAAGAGACTCTATATGAAGAACATGGTGCTACTTTGAAGCACAAGTGTGGTAAAAGGATAGTAACATTGCCGCTTCTGTCTTTTTCTCTCATTTTTTTCTATTTTTTTGGTGGGCTTCTTTGGCCTCTTTTTTTATTTGGACTTCTTTGGCCTCTTTTATTTTGATAACCTCACATGGGACAATGTTTTAATAATGATGATCATCAGACTTTTATTTACTTACAACTTGATACTAGAACAAAGATATGACTCTATATGAATGCCTCCGGCGGTGTACCGGGATGTGCAACGATCTAGCGTAGCAATGGCATCAAAAAATAGACAAGCCATGAAAACATCATGCTAGCTATCTTACGATCATGCAAAGCAATATGACAATAAATGCTCAAGTCATGTATATGATGATGATGGAAGTTGCATGGCAATATATCTCGGAATGGCTATGGAAATGCCATGATAGGTAGGTATGGTGGCTGTTTTGACGAAGATATAACTAGGCTTATGTGTGATGGAACGTATCGTATCACGGGGTTTGGATGCACCGACGAAGTTTGCACCAACTCTCGAGGTGAGAAAGGGCAATGTACGGTACCGAAGAGGCTAGCAATGATGGAAGGGTGAGAGTGCGTATAATCCATGGACTCACATTAGTTATAAAGAACTCATATACTTATTGAAAAAGTTTATTAGCCCTCGAAGCAAAGTACTACTACGCATGCCCCTAGGGGGATAGATTGGTAGAAAAAGACCATCACTCATCCCCGACCGCCACTCATAAGGAAAGCAATGAAAAACACCTCATGCTCCGACTTCGTTACATAACGGTTCACCATACGTGCATGCTACGGGACTTGCAAATCTCAACACAAGTATTTCTTAATTTCACAATTAATCAACTAGCACGACTCTAATATCACCATCTTTATATCACAAAACTATTGTAAGGAATCAAACATATCATATTCGGCGATCTACAAGTTTATGTAGGATTTTATGACTAACCATGTGAATGGCCAGTTCCTGTCATCTTTCTAAATAGATATAAGTGAAGCAAGAGAGTTTAATTCTTTCTAAAAAAGATATGCCCACGCTCTAACAAATATAAGTGAAGTAAAAGAGCATTCTACAAATGACGGTTGTCTATGTAAAGAGAAACAGACAATCCAAGCTTCAAATGATATAAGTGAAGCACATGAAGCATTCTATAAAGCCATACTCAAAAGATATAAGTGAAGTGCAATGAGCATTCTATAAATCAACCAAGGACTATCTCATACCAGCATGGTGCATAAAAGAAAAATGAAAACTAAATGCAAAAGACGCTCCAAGATTTGCACATATCGCATGAACAAAACGAATCTGAAAACATACCGATACTTGTTGAAGAAAGAAGGGATGTCTTCCGGGGCATCCCCAAGCTTAGACGCTTGAGTCTCCTTGAATATTTACTTGGGGTGCTTCGAGCATCCCCAAGCTTGAGCTCTTGCCTCTCTTCCTTCTTCTCACATCGAAACCTTCTCGATCATCGAACACTTCATCCACATAAAACTTCAACAGAAAACTCGGTAAAATCCGTTAGTATAACTAGATGATTCTCCGCGCGTTGCTGCGGAACATTATGTAAGATCAATTGAGTATCAACCTGAATAGACGTAGTTCAAATGAGGTTCCATGAAAGAATAATATCACATAGGTCTCTCACGAAGTACCAGGCAACTGGTAGCATGCTTAAAACCATTGATGTTGTCCTATCCGTAGGAGAAACAAAGTAAACTAAGCCAATCAACTCATACATGCTGAAACTATAAAAATGGTAAATTAGGTCGCTTGAACTTAAAAGCTAAACAAAGGATGAAACAAAATTTACCCAGCCGAATGATCAAACAGGGAGGGCAGGGCGTGACTGTTGTATGCATGTATAGGGTGCCAGCAGCCCCGTTTGAGCCACCCGCAGGAAATTTTCTCGTCAGATACTTGTATATTAATGGGAGCAGCAACAATACTATGCAGCAAGGACCACCGAATCGTCCTAGATCCTTGCCATCAGCAAATCATCCTACACTTGCAGCGGGTGGGCTCTGACCAAATCTGAAAATAAGTTTGTCATCCAAGACATATATGGTATCACAGTTGTCGAATGTAAGTATGTAATCAGAATCATATTGACATGCTCTCTAAATAAGTATGCAGCCTAACAGAATTTGTATATAATAACTCAGTGCAAAAATTTAATTCAGATATGGGTGCTTGTGCTCTCTAAATAAGTTCGTCAAACATAAAATTAGATATGGGACCTTGTGTACTAATGCGAGTAGCTGCGAGGGAGAGAAAAGGCAGGAGTGGTGTAGGATTTTAGCATAGGCCATATAAAAATGTCATAGGATGCCAACATGCATGCATATATATTAGCTTTTGAGAAAAACCTATGACATTCAGATATGACTTCTTCATATTCAACGTGGCAGTGATATTTGATTTTAGCATAATCCACATAAAAATATCATAGGTTGCCAACAGGCATGCATATATATTAGCTTTTGAGGAAATCCCCCAATAAGTATGTACAAAAATAAACACAACCTAGGAAATGGAGAATTGATGAAAGTAAACTAAACTTGATGTCGTTGTTTACATAAGCCTGAACTTCATGTAGCTGTTTACACAAGCCCATGCGGATCCTACATATAAGTAATTTGGAAGCCTATGTGTAGAGAAATAAACACGAATAATGTATCCATGTTGCACAAAGTGGCGATTTTCTTCTTCTAAGCAGAAGCACTTCTATCTATTTAAGCATAAGAACGTTAGGTTTATTTTTAATTCAACAAACAGAGGTTGATTAGGACAAATTGACTGTCATGCATGGACCTGAGGAGCAAACAAAAATAAACATAAATTCAAGCGCCAAGAGGTGCATGTCAAATCAAATTTTAGGTGCTTAGCTAATTCATATTTCTGAACATTTTGCTCTCTGAATATCAGTGAATAATTCTTACCGTAAATTGCATATACCAATAATTTTGTAGCGCAGGTTGAGAGTGAATGACATAATTGTGACCCTGCATCACAACATAGTGAGATGTCAGTTAAGACTAAGAGTCATGTTCTCAAGCATTGTTTACGAAAACTGAAAACATAGATGTACTTATTCTGGGTATGAGCGAGTCATGTTCTTCAGCGAGATTAGATTTTTTTTACTTATGAACACTTTCCATTCATCAGGATCTATCCTCCCATTGTTGTTCAAGTGTGCCTCCTTGAATGTCTGTTGGAATTTAAGTTAGCATAAACATATGGATAGTTTTAGTGCTTCTTGCGCATCAACATTCATCTAGATGTGGTGTACCTGCTGGTCCACAATCTGTTCAAAATCATCATCAAAAATATGTAGGCCTGATTCATTCATGATTAACATACCCAAACTGTCAAATTGTAAAGGTAGTGTGCGTGCTTTACTTGGCGGATATAATGGGTTTCATGTTACTTCTTCAATGAGCCAAAGAGTACTGATAGAGCTGGAGGATAAGCATCTAAATGGACAAATCGCAATGTATGGTGGTATGCCCAAAACATCTTGAAGTGGTCTGATCAGTTGTCAGGATTATGTGCAGAATAATTCAGTAAATAAAAGATACATACATCTTCATATTCAACGCTGTTGCTGATGCCTCACGGATCCAATAGTCTGAATGCAACTACGAGAAGGTCATATTAAAATATCAAATAGGGAAAAGAATATATAGATACAAGTCATCCCAAATCGTATATGGCAGCCTACTGTTACTTGAATATCTACACATGGTCAAACACACGCAGTCACACACTGAAAAAGGTGGGAACCAAAGAAAGGAGGTGAGGGAGAAAGAGCCTGAACTGAAGTTGTCCCTCCTGATCTCCGACGGTGCTCCTCGGCATGGTCCGCGGCGACGGACAGCACCCTTCCCCCACGGCGTTCCCAAGAGGCGGACGACATCTAGCATTAGCGGGACCCCTTCCTCTTCGCTCAACGGCTGCAGCTCTGCAACCGGCACTGCATGCTTGCCGACGAGGCACGCCGCGTTTAACGGCAGGAGGATCACGCCGGCAACAACATCAAGTCTGTCTCCTCGTCTGCTTGTGCCGCTCGTCTCTTTGATGGGTGGTGATCGATTTGGTGTGGACTGCTGGGTGCGGGAGGCGGCGGCTAGCATCGGTGCCAGATTTGATAGGCGAACCAAAAAGGTGAAGTAGCGGAGGCCTAATTTGTTGGGAAAAGGAGTGGAAGTGGAAGGGGAACAGGCTGCCATAATCTGGCCGATGCGTTCCTGCTGTGTTCTTGGAGATGAGAAGCCAAGGAGGTGAAGTAACGTGGAGCCAACGCAAGGGGTGGAGTGACGTGGAGCCAACGCAAGGGGTGGAGAGACGACTGTTCTATTCGCTAGCCAAGCGGTAACGGAGGCAGATGAGGACGGAAAGATGCATCGGTGCGCAGCCGCTCTTAGGCCCCTCCTAATGCTCCACCTACAGGTGCTAAGCCTTTCACGTAGGTAAAAAATCTGATGTGGCATGTTATTTAAGAGGAGAGAGATGAGTGTTGTGACCCTAGGAAGAAACAATGCTAAGTGCGTGAACCTAGGCAAAACATTTAAAGAAAAGAAACCCACCAATACATGAAGAGCTTTAGTTGCTAAATCATTAAATGAAGTAAGCTTAGCAACCAAAAGCTAAACACCTATGCATTGGGGAGTATAGTTGCTAAGCTATTTAATGTGCTTAGCACCTCATCTAAGCACCCATGCATTGGGAGTAGCCTTATGGGTCCTACCGGCAGTAACTGAAGCAAACGTGGGTGCTTTCTATTGTGACGGGTTCCGCTTGTAAGCCTCTAATGAAACGTTGATGTGGCAGTATTGTTGATGTGGATAGGTTGCATGTCAAGAGAAATAACATAGTGGGGATGAACTATTTAGGTATTATAAATAAAGCAAATCACCACTCTAAGTACTGTTGCAAACCAATTCATATTTTACTTTTGCATTGTGTCTACTGTAATATAACTTTTTCATGGCTTAATCCACTGATATAAATTGATAGTTTCATCAAAACAAGCAAACTATGCATCAAAAACAGAATCTGTGAAAAATAGAACAGTCTGTAACAATCTGAACATTCACCATACTTATGATAATTGAAAAATTCTGCCAAAATTAGGAAACATAAACAATTTGTACATCAAGACAGTGCAAAAAGAATCAGAACCATTTGACGTTCCAGTAAAAAAATGTAAAATCGTGCACTACAGCAAAAGTTTCTGTCCTGCACCGCACAAACCAATAAGCATTGTAAACATCCTAAAGGCAAACCTTGGCACATTATTTTTATAATACAATGGAATTGTACAAGGGGATAATTATTTTTGTTGAAAAGTTTCTGTAATCAAGATTCACAAAGTTTCCGTGAGCATGAACAAAGTTCAAGGAGCTCTCCCACTTCAACAATGCTGGTCTTTCTCACTTTGACTTTCCTTTTTGAAAAAGTTTTGGGCTCTCCTCTTTATTTTTGTTGTTTTTAAACTAGATGAAAGCACTCAACAGAAATAAATGACTCTCTAAAACTTCCGGGTTGTCTCCCTGGCAGTGCTTTCTTTAAAGTCATTAAGCTAGGCATATATTGCTCAAGTAATGGATCCACCTGGATCCCAAGGTATATCAAAGACAATTTTAATTAACAATGATTTTAATTTAGTAATGAGCACAAGGCAACATATATCATGCAACAACAAAGTCTAACTCTCTTCCTATGCATCGGCATGTCATAAAATAACAATTCATGCACACATAGTAAAGGCCAATGCATAGTATAAACAGTTTCTTGCAATTTTCTCATGTGGGAAACATAGAGAGGTGGAGATATAGTTACTCTCTCATAATAACTGCAAGTAGGAGTAGCAAGCACATGCATATTATATTCATCAAAATCATCATGTGCAACGGTAAAAGGCAACCCATCAATATAATCCTTAATAAAAGCAAACTTCTCCGATATACTGTAGTTTGGAGAATTCAAAAGGATAATAGGACTATCATGTGTGGGTGCAATAGCAACAATTTCATGTTTAACATAAGGAACTATAGCAAGTTCATCTCCATAAGCATAATTCATATTGGCATCTTGGCCACAAGCATAGTAAGCATCATCAAAAAGGGATATTTCAAGAAAATCAACGGGATCATAACAATCATCATAGCAATCATCCTTCGGTAAGCACGAAGGGGAATTAAATAATGTATGAGTTGAAGAGTTACTCTCATTAGAAGGTGGGCACGGGTAGCTGATTCGCTCTTCCTCCTTTTGTTCTTCGCTCTCCTCCTCATCTTTTTCATCCAATGAGCTCACAGTCTCAGTAATTTCTTCTTCCATAGACTCCTGCAAAATATTAGTCTCTTCTTGGACAGCGGAGACTTTCTCAATAAGTGCACTAATATTGTAATTGTATTCATAATTCTCATAACGATATTTAAGGATAGCTAAATTTTCAGGTCTATAAACCGAATCATCAAAATCTTCAAACTCTTTAAACATAGATTCAATTTCATAAGCACCCATAAAAGCAACACATTTTTTTATTTGTTCCACATCATAGTAAATCATAGATACCATTAGCATAAGAAGCTAAGGTTTTATTATCATTAAATTTGCATGAAAATGGAAGGTGTGGAGCCTTCATCCTAAAGCAACAAGTATAATCATATCTCAAGCATAGTTGTCTAGCATACCACTGCAACATATAAATTTGATCCCATAATAGTTTCCCTTTTTGTGTCAAGCGATAATCCCTAAAGTATTCACATTGATCCAACGTTACTCCCATTACCAAATTGAATGGGGTTTTCTCAGGATTATCAAAGTAGTACGAAATATCTATCACATAACGAGCATCGAGGGTTTTAGGAGGTTCCTCATCTCCATGAGTAGCAAGTACACCTAATTTTTTGGTATTTCGTGTTCCATATCCATAACTAAAGATAAAGAACAACTAAAAACAACAAATAAAAATTACTTAGTGATAAAGCAAATAAGCACACACGAGAATATTCACCCCACGCTATTGCTACCCAGCAACGGCGCCAGAAAAAGGTCTTGATAACCCACAAGTATAGGGGATCGCAACAGTTTTTGATAAGTAAGAGTGTCGAGCCCAACGAGGAGCTAAAGGTAGAACAAATATTCCCTCAAGTTCTATCGACCATCGATACAACTCTACGCACACTTGACGTTTGCTTTACCTAGAACCAGTATGAAACTAGAAGTAGTTTGTAGGTGTTTTGGGATAGGTTTGCAAGAAAGTAAAGAGCACGTAAATAAAAGCTAGGGGTTGTTGTAAGTAAAGAAGCAATAAAGTAAATATAGCAAGTGTGGAAAAGTGGTGGTAGGAGTTGCAAAATTGTCCCTTAAGCAATTGACTACTTTACTAGACCGATAGCAAGTTTTATATGGGAGAGGCCACTGCTAGCATGTCATCCCTTACTTGGGATTCTATGCACTTATGATTGGAACTATTAGCAAGCATCCGCAACTACTAACGTTAATTAAGGTAAAACCCAACCATAGCATTAAGATATATTGATCCCCCTTCAATCCCGTATGCATCAATTTCTATGCTAGGTTAAAGCTTCTGTCACTCTTGCCCTCCAATACATAGTCCTATCAACATACAACTAACCCTATGGTGTGATCCACGCGCGCGCTCATATGATGGGCACCAAAGGACAGCAACATAACCACAAGCAAATTAAATCAATCATAGCAATTCATCAACCACCGATAGGACAACTATAATCTACTCAGACATCATAGGATGGCAACACATCATTGGATAATTATATGAAGCATAAAGCACCATGTTCAAGTAGAGGGTACAACGGGTTGCGGGAGAGTGGACCGCTATAGATAGAGGGGGGAAGGTGATGGAGATGTTGGTGAAGATGGCGGAGGTGTTGGTGTAGATCGCGGTGATGATGATGATGGCCACGGCAGTGTTCCGGCGCCACCGGAAGAGAAGGGGAGAGGGGGCCCCTTCGTCTTCTTCTTCCTTGACCTCCCCCCTAGATGGAAGAAGGGTTTCCCTCTGGTCCTTGGCCTCCATGGCGTGGGAGGGGCGAGAGCCCCTCCGAGATTGGATTTGTCTCTCTGTTTCTCTCTGCTTCTGCGTTCTGTTCTGGTGCCCTTTCACCGTTTTGGGTATATATGGAGATCGGTAACTCCGATTGGATTGAAACCTTCACCATGGTTTTTTAACCAAAAATTAGCTTTCTTG